CCCCCCCTCCCCGGTCAATTCAATTCAACTTTTATTCCTTAAGTTTGACAACTTATTGGATAACTATAATTTACAACAAATTACAAATGATATATACACATATGTATTAATTTGTGCATTCAACTATCATTATGACTCCCACATCATTATTGTGCATCGTCATCATCATATCATCATCATCATCATCATCATCACCAACAACAACATGTAAGTTACATAATCCGTAATGATACAAACATATTCTAAATGCCAATAATACATACATAGACATTTATAAAAATTATATTGATATTCATGTTTTACGTCACTCGTGCCTTAGTTTATACATGGAAGGATTTCGCCAGTAATATGGTTTTATGTATTTTACTCTCAGAATATGATAATTTCTGCATATCAAAATAAATAGATATTCGTCTTCTATATCTGTATTGCAGCTCATACAGTGTCTTTGTTCTCTCGTTATGTTATTGTATCTACCAGTCTCAATAGCTAAATTATGTGCAGAAAGACGAAGTTTGGATAAACAGATTCGATATTTCATAGGAATATACTTTGTCAAATAGTTTTGAAGAATATGGTGATTTGCTAAGTGCTTATATAAAATCCATTTAGGTGAGGCGTCTAATAGCCCTCTCAGATATTGTTGACTTTGATCAAATATTCTTTTGCTTTATCATATACAAATAATTTTATGGTTATGTGTCCATACATCTGAGAATCCGAGAGAAAAAAGACAATGTTTGACATAATTAACCCAGGAATACGCAGTTTGCAAAATACAATTTTTCGAATCCATTAGTTTTAACCAATATTTTATCATTCTGAATTTTCTTATATATTCCAAAGGATATCGACCTAATTAAAAATAAACCATTTTCGAATCCATTAGTTTTAACCAATACTTTATCATTCTGAATTTTCTTATATATTCCAAAGGATATCGACCTAATTAAAATAAACCATTGCATTACAGGTCGACTTTTTAACTTTTAAAATCTTCTTACAGAGGTGTAAGTGTACCCTCTAAATATCCGTACCTTTTGTAGATCCGCCACTTCACATGCATTATGCAATATACTGCAAACATACGTATCAAATAAATGCAATAACGTTGTACAGTTTAGGCTCAAGTTAGAACAGATTGAAAAAAGAGCAAACATGGGCTTTCGTCCTTGGTCAGATAACTGTTTCTGTATATGATTGAATCTATTATTGAATTGAAGTTTTACTCCTAGATAGCTGAAAACATCTAAAACTTCCACCTCAACACCATTATACATCCATCCTTCTCTATCACGTATACGACCTCCATTTCTAAATACAACTATTTTGGTTTTCTCAGTGTTGACTGTTAATTTCCATTTTGTAGAATACTCATTCAGATTATCTAAAAGACTAGTCATAGTCTGTTGCACCATTTTCAATAAATGAGGTTTCAAAACCATTAACAAAAACTGAGAACAATAAGGGAGATAATATTTCCCCTTGCGTTAATCCAACATTGTACTCAAAGTAGTTAGAACATTTACCGTTAATTGATACACAAGATTTAACTGATTGGTACAAGGACTTAATGACGGTGAACATTTACCGTTAATTGATGCACAAGGTTTAACTGATTTGTACAATAACTTAATGACGGATACATTTTCCCTCGAATACCAAGCTTAGTCAGCTTACGCCATAAGCTTAATCTATCAACAAAATCAAACGCTTTGCGAAAGTCCACAAAGCAACAGTACAAACGTTTCTTCGAAGATAAAGTTTTCGTTATAATAGAATGTAATGCGAAAATTGCATCAATCGTACTAAGTTCTCGACGAAATCCGAATTGTGCATCAGTAATAAGGTCAAACTGTGTACACACATCTAAGATATGTTTATTTAGTACAGAGGTAAAAAGTTTACAAAAACAGCTAATTAAACTAACACGTCTAAAGTTATGAGGGTCATTTAAAACACCTTTTCATATGGACAGGAATAATTATGGCTGACGACCAATTAGAAGATAAATAACCAGATTCTAGTATATAATTAAACAACGGAGATAAAGTAGGAAGAAGAAATTCCTCGCCAGCTTTTAAACATTCATTTAACAAACCATCAGGTCCATGTGATTTACCACATTTCAATTTTCGAATAGCATTTTTGACTTCTTGTAACGAAATAGGCGCATCTAATTCCAAAAAAGCAGTGTCATTATCAGTAAGACTAAAGTCGTCATGATGGACTGGATCACTAGCTTGTTGTACAGAAGACAGGTTCACACAATAATCACTCGACCCAGTCCAAAACTCTATCGGCACATCTCATTGGTTACCCTTCACTCTAATTGAAAGACATGATAAGGTTTATAAGAAAGAGGACATTGGTAATGTGATCAGTCAGCTTTATTTTAAGTGACGAATGATGAGGAGAGGATTACATTGAACTGACAACAAAAATCAGCACCTGCATGACTCTAACCACTAACACACAGTCCGCCGGATGGCACTATAAATGGTGGCCTGTGTGGAAACTGTCCAATCTCGCACGGAAAAGAACCCTATGAGTTTTTCGAAAAAAGAGTAGGCGTGATAACGCCAACCCAGAGGATAGGGTTAGGATATTTTCGGCCGTTAGAATTAGTCTCTCTTTATTAGACATTTAGAAGGATTTCCGAAGTATATAAAAAAACAAATTTTATAGAATAGTTAGGAGCTGGTGTAGCTTGCGGCGGCTCAGTACTTCACTTCCGGCCTAGGCTTGCATTGGTGCTGCTTCACGACGAGTGTTAGTTTAAGGCAAACATTAGGCCTAGCAGTCGTCTTACAAAAACATACTTATACACACATTAATACATGTAGGATAGACGGCTGGTTCTCTCCTCTGTCATCCTTTTCTATACCTTCAATCCATACTTCAGCCCTTCTACTCATTTACCTGTCGTTTCTTCGTCTACTATAGTTAACCGAACTACTCGGTACTGAAGCGGACGTAAAACCAATCAATCAACCAACCAGCCGTTTATATTTTCTTGTTTAACATTGTGTTATCTATATCGATACTGCTTACGGTATAGATGGAAGGGTGTGAGGTCGCGATATTACAAAGAGTACTCATGTAATCAGCTTCACTGTTATTTCAATTATTAAACATATTCTCACAAACTTTCAACATTGTATTATCTATATTCATAAACGATTATAGAATTGAAGTTGAGCTTACGATATCGATGAAATCCCGGGCGATCCTACAATTAAAAATAACGCGCATCATTTCAGCTGTACATAGCGTCTGGTTGCGAAGTACTGTAACCATGATATCACATCAGTATTATTTTGGGGGAAAAAATGTCCATTTTATACATCTTTTAGTCAGCAATTTCAATAGCAATAAATAAATGTTTTATTTATTTTCCTGTCAAACGCATATTTTATAACAAGTGCTAATTGTAATGAGGGACCATTACAGAAGTCCCCCAAATACCCCCGCAGCATGTATATATAGAAAATGTGTTCAGCCATGTATGGCTTATTTACATTTACTAGACACGGTTTAAAGTCAATATAGGTCTGCACTATACATTAGAATGCAATTATAAAGACCACGTTTTTTGACCATTTCTTTTTCGGCTACTGTGAGTATGTTTTTTAAGTCCTTCCTTCCAACGGGGTGACAGTCTTTAAAACGGCTGAAAACGGGCATTTCGTGGTCTTCACCTTTGACCGCAGATATAAAAAAATCCAAACTTTACAACATCTGCTGAAATCAATTTTTCCAATACAGTTTCAATGATACTTTCTAGGTCACTTTCAATTCGTGTATGAGAGATCAGGTGCATCGTGTGACAAACACTTGCCTTGCCTTGCAATTGGGTTAGGACGCAGCTGTCCCACATCGTGTGACAAACACTTGCCTTGCCTTGGGTTAGGACGCAGCTGTCCGACATGGTGTGACAAACACTTGCCTTGCCTAGGGTTAGGACGCTGTCCGACATGGTGTGACAAACACTTGCCTTCCCTTGGGTTAGGACGCAGCTGTCCGACATGGTGTGACAAACACTTGCCTTGCCTTGGGTTAGGACGCAGTCCGACATGGTGTAACAAACACTGGCCTTGCCTTGGGTTAGGACGCTGTCCGACATCGTGTGACAAACACTTGCCTTGCCTTGCAATTGGGTTAGGACGCAGCTGTCCCACATCGTGTGTCAAACATTTGCCTTGCCTTGGGTTAGGACACAGCTGTCCGACATGGCGTGACAAACCCTTGCCTTGCCTTGGGTTAGGACGCAGTCCGACATGGTGTGACAAACACTGGCCTTGCCTTGGGTTAGGAAGCTGTCCGACATCGTGTGACAAACACTTGCCTTGCCTTGGGTTAGGACGCAGTCCGACATGGTGTAATATTTTAGAGAAAATGTCAATGTTTTACCGAAATAATTGTCACGTGACACTTTATGCGACAAGTTGGTTACATCATAGACCTCGCAATATGTCAGTTATCGTACCCGAGGGGCGGGGCTTACATCTCTCGAGCTACGCGCTCGAGAAGTAGCCCCTCCCCTCCCGTACAATAGCTGACATACATTATTCGGTTCCTATGATACAACCAACACTTAGTGACACCTGTCACTAAAAGCTCGGGTTGCATGGCTGCGATATTATTAATTTCAAATAGCCATAACTTGACCAGATTTAAAGCTTTTGTTAACAAACACATTTGTTATTGTGTTAAAACGGAGTAAAAAGCCTAAACGGGCCATATATCACTGCCGGGCTGTGCCAAGCTGTACCGGTCTATACCGGACTGTAATTAGTATCAACCACGGCAGATCGCTTAAGCAATGAGCAATAATTATCATTGTTTACTTGAAGCTTCGTTTCACCTCTTTGATTACATCTGTGACAATGTATTTTTAGGACATTTTATCATTGATTATCGTTATTCAAAATGATACATCCATTTATTTTGAATGTTTTCGTGACTTAATAAAAATCACGTGATAATCAAAATGGCAGCCTCCATGGATAGTAATATGTCACTGTTATCATAGAAATAGGTGAATACAAGTTCAGACAGTGCAAATATAGGGCTATGAGTGGAAATGATAAAGACTTTGCGCCTCTAACGGCACTTTGTGTTAGAAATCTGAATGATAAGTTATACGAGAAGCGCAAAATGGGGGCTCTGGAAGTTGAAAGGTAAGTCTGGTTTAAGTCAATAAGCGAAGCTCTTCAATATGTGACGATAGTGCAGGCAAATTCGTCACATTAGTGAGGGTTTCGGTTAATTATTCGTCCAAAAACGCATGTATCAAAATACAGGCGAGCATCAGTACAGAAGAAGATTTGACTGAAATGCCTATAAATAAACATTGTTGTAAACACGCCAGAATGACGTCACGCAGCAACATTTGTGACGTCAGCAGGCCTTCCGTGTTTTTGCTCAAAGGTGCAGGCAGTTTCGCCACCTTCAAATATTTAACTAATTTACAAGCAGGGGCATAACAAACGGGTTTTCAAGGTGTAAAGCCCAATGATGAAGTGTGCTGCTAAAGGCAGCACCCCGAAGCGTGAGGAGGGGGAGGGTATGAGAGGGGGTTTTCCCCCTCCCATTGGTGGGGCCTGGGGTGTCTCCCCCAGGAGGATTTTGTTTTCTAGAACACATGAGACGCGTTCTCCCTTGTTCTGACGTCAGTTTTAATGGCCATTTTAAAGCAAGAAAATATCGTTTCCCCTATTATTTTACAAATATTTTGCTTCTTTTTGGGTATGTAGGGATTGGTACTCATCTACGCCAATTATATTATGGAGTTCGGTAACATTATTCCACGGAAAAGAAAAATCTAAAATCATGTTCTAAGAGTGCGACGTTTCTCCACGCGACTGTGACTCCGGTTGCGCAGGGATATGAGACTAGTATCACAAGCTAGCACTAGGAATAGTTTAACATTATGTACATAAGAACCGATATACTGGTCAATGTGTAAAATATAAAGCCTTGGTTTATGACCATTCCATATGTATTTTGTATTAATAAAGGGGATAAAAATCATAGGAACAGTTTATTTCACGGGGGGCGGGGGCTAGTGAGTACTATGTGTATACCAATAATTTGCATAGCTAGAGTACTAGTTGCACTGACACGGTTACCATGTCAAATGATTGAAATCAGGCTACCAACCATATTGTTCCCTTTATATGTATAAAAGCGGTAAAAAAGACTTAGAAACACTTTATTTCACGGGGAAAACTAGAGTTAGTGTTTGAGTACACTGATAATTAGCAAGACTAGAGTTTCACTGGCGCGATTACCATGCCGAATGAATATGCTACCCTCAGTTCTACATTTGTTAGAGACTTTGATTGCAACGAAGCATTTTAGTTGGCGGTCTTTATAGCAGATACAAAACATCTGTCATTGCTTTTTAATATTTTATATCATATAGTCTATGTTGCATTTATATATTTTTTATTTTGTCAAAAATGATGGGTTAGCCCGTTTTTTTTTGCTACATAGGTTGTTACGCGCCTGACAAGTAATCTAAGTGTTTTAATGTAAAATTTTGTATGTTTATGTTACACAAGCCGTACTGATACGAACAGCTCCAAATGTTTGGCTGCTGTTTCCATTATGCCTTCTCCTTCCACATTCCCCTTTGCAATTTCTCCTGCTTTATTGAAGTTGGTGAAATTTGGCCCTTTGGTCATCTTCCTTTGTCTCAAGTTAACAAAGACAAACGTGTTCAAACATTTAATGACTTCTTTTGAATAACCAAGAGGCATAAAGTCATGTAATTTGGCCCTGTGGGATGTTGAACTTGGAGGTCTATCAAATATGTTCAAAATGATGACAATCAGGTCAGCGTGAACAATCATTACTATATCACAACCAGGTGGCCGAAAAGGCCCATTAGCCTGCTGTTTATTTAAAGCAATAAATCTTCAATAAATCAATTTGTATTGGAAAAGTAATGTAGACACTGTTACTCTTCTCAGAAAATGTCTATTTTTTCTTTCAGGATGGTTAGAGAATTTTCTTTAGCTGGTCAAAATGTTCAGATTCAGCGGATCCTTAAGGTTCTTGGTGAAGATCTTGCATTGTCTCACAACCCAAACTCAAGGAAAGGTGGCGTCATAGGTCTGGCAGCTACAGCCATCGCTCTTGGAAAGGTAGATAATAGTTTGGTAGAGGCCCAGTTATATCAGGTCAGGGATATCATTATGTATATTGAAGTGTAAGCAGAAAATCATGTGACAACATTTCAACCATAATCACAGGAAGGAAGTTTGGACACATGAGGCGTTTTCCTATGTATCCATGTCATATATGTCTTGTGTACAGTTTGGGGAAATTCACCTGCAAGATATTTTTCATTCAAAATAAAAAAAAAACAGGATTGAAATCAGTACTGTAAGGATGTATGCTGCTCTTGTTACTGTGGCATTTTTTAGACCTAGTCTGGAGGGCAAGTGAACCTACACAGTATGCCGTCTGTCTGCCGTTAACTGTTCCTTTGAAAAGCTACTAGAGCAGAATGACTAAATGGATTTTGACAAAATGTGGTTTTGATTATTATTGGGAAAAGAGGAATCTGATCAACATTGTATAAGATGGTGATGTGGCCTTAGTATGAGAGCAGAGGGGAAGGGCCCACTAGGCCAAATTAAGGCAAAGCTTAATAACATCATGCTTAATTGGACTTAAATTTTTTGGGCAAGTTCATATGCAGTGTAGGTTGGTCACCACCATCCATACACTGTTGACTATTTCACGTTGTCTGGTGATCCCTTTTTTTGAAATGTACAACTTGTAAAGGTACAGCAAAACCTTGTTATATTGCCACCATTTGTTCAAAGAAATATTGACATTATAATGTTTTTTATGCAATAAATTGAGGGTAACGTATAAAGGAATTTTAAAAGAATTAAAAAAAAAAAACCACTTAAGAAACATGAAAATACGTTGGTGGTAAGAGAGGTGGCAAATGATATGACGGGCATATAAGGTTTTACTGTACATTTGTTTCTTTAAATATTTGCTATCTTACAACATATATCACCAATAGGTGAGCTATGCTGTTCTCCACAAGCTCTTGTTTTAATGCAGCTGGTTCAAAAATGTCCCCTATGCTGGTTGTCCGGGGCAAGTCTTCTAAATCCTTACATGGCTTTAATACGGGGGCAGCTTGCTTCATCCGGAACAAAATGGGACTACCAGGAGTGGGGATGGATGATAGATGTTATTGGTGAGAGATGGTTCCGCGACATTTTCTTTGCAAAATGCGGCAAAGAAAGACCCCAGTTGTTGATTCAATACACGAGACACCAGTAATCCTTGAGATGGCTCTCCAAGAAAACATACATGTCCTCAGCCTCCAACCTGATTATACGACACATCTGCTACAGCCCCTTGACAGAGCAGTATTTGGACCATTGAATGCCGCATACAATAGGATCTGTTCGGAATGCCTCAGTGAAAACCCGCTAAATTTTCTCCATCAGCCGAATAGCAGTACCTCTTAATCCCTTTGCACCTTCTATTCCTACCGATGTACAATTGCCATCAGCTGACGCACCTGCAAGTGCTATAAATATGTTCCCTGCTACAGAATTGCCTGTATATCCTGTCGACCGTGTAGCAACGCCAGAGGAATTGTCCATGTCATCTTGATCTGTGCCAGCAGAAGTTCCATTGACTATGCCTTCGTTGTCTCTAACAATGGAAGACCAGTCATCGCTGTCTTCTCAAGACCCAGAACTACTGCAACCCCTTAGCACTGGTCAATGTGAACTATTTACTGCAGACGGGGAAGGAATGGCAACCATACTAGCAATCTCCAGCGTGAATTCAGCAAGCTGTTCTTGCCACCAAGGATCAATACCGCAAGGTCAAATCACTCCAACGTGGAAAGAAAGACAAATTCATCACATCAACTGCTGACATTTGAGGAAATTATGGAAGAAAAAAGGGACATTGCGTTAAAAAAGGAATTAAAAGAAAAACTAAAAGTTGAATGACAACAGAAAAGGCAGCAAAGAAGCTGAAACTTGAAGTAAAATGTAGATTACAGGCCATTTTGCATATCATAAATGTTATCATAAGCAATATATATTGTCTTTCTACTATCTTATACAACTAGTATCTAGATTTATACATAAGCAACACATGCACTATTAACAGGGACGCCAAGTATGCGAATGTGTTCTCTTTAGGGCGACTCTTACCAAGATAAGATATCCTATCTAACTAGTGTACATGTGTATATAAGGGAAACAGTGATAACCTCTCTAAGCCTTTCACCTCATTTCAGGTTCTTCAGGAGACTGTTTATTTTATAGAGTGCACATGAAATGATGACATCATCAATATTATGATGTCACAAACAATACAAAAAACAGGGAATAACTCTGTTTTACAACTTTTGTCTAGTAAAAATACATTTATTGTGAATATCTGTCGAGGTTTAATTTAATCAACTCCGACTCTTTGGTTTAACATTTTGGTTTCTCATTGGAATGCCCGTTTTCTGTAAATCTTCCCACTTGTCTCTTATTATAGGGTACATATTAAGATTATGTGGATTGTAAGTCAACACAAAAGGAATGATTTGGTAATTACAAGTTACTTTTGAACAGGTTGTAAAATAACCCCTTTCTCTAGCTCTTTTGACGCCTGACTACAAATAATAACATACGACATGGCGGTCATACTGGTCAGTCGACACTGAGCCAGCTCCAGACACCATTGGTCTTATACTAGGGAATTCTTAAACAAACTTGTTTTTTTTTTTATACCAAAATGTGTGTAAGGATGTAGTTATCATGATGTGCTGAATACTTCGAAAAATCTACATCGGATAGTGACAAAAAACTCTGTGTTTATTCGATTTCTACATGGTTGAATGAGTACAGCTCACCCGGCGAGTTTTCTTACCTGTTATTTGTATACAGGTGTATGTATATACTAGCGATATCTACACGGGAATATAAGTTCTTATCAGAGACATATATAGCACACATTCGTAATGAGTAACCGGCAAAGGATG